ATATATATATATATATATATATATATATATATAGATATATATATATAGGAGAGATTCGTTTACTTTAGGAGTAAATTTACTTAGACTTACTCCGTTCAATAACTACATCAAATCTCAATGATCTAACAGTTGAATTTAAAGTTCTTAATTCATAAATCAAATATGCAATTTTTTTAAAAATTTGAAAACATTTTGATACTTCGATTCATTAATTTAAATTGACAGATAATCATAAAGATATTTAATACGATGACTTGATTTAATAAAAAGAAGTACCAAATGGTTTTTAATTATTTTTAAAAATTTATAGATTTGATCTATATATTAAAAATTTTAAATTTAACAATTAGATCATTAAAATTTGATATAAAACATGAATTGAATGAAATAAATCTATATAGACTCATTCATGTAATAAACAGATCATTCTTCATACACACACACATATATATATATATATATATATATATATATATATATATGATTTACCAGGATTTAATATCATAAGAACACTTAAAGAAGTTATGACTTTTTTTATTAAAAAAAAAAACTTAAATGACATTCATACGGATAAAAAAATATGAAAATGAAAAAGAATACATATTATTAGATCATGAATGGTTGATAATTGGCATTTTGACTCACCTTTTATATGCATATTTAAGCAATGTTACTTTTTTCCTGACTTGAGACATTTAATTTGGCCCTTTTACGTGTTTATGTAATTATATATTTAGGATTAGGTACCTTATTACTAGTATATGAGGTTTTTGTTAATTTTATCTTGTTTTGTGTAGGAATTTTGAGGAAGATAAATAAAAAAAAAAATTTTAAAAAAAAAAACAACCAAATTTTTAAGCCCACTTTAAGGCCCAATTTTGCATGTCATGTTGAGCAAAGTTTGATTAGCACTTAACACCAAGGTTTCAAACAATACAGCTTTTGGTATATCCCGTGCCAATCTTTACCTCCTCCAGTATCGAGTATAAAAATAAAAATTAAAAAATTAAAAAAAAATCTTTACTTATTGGCTTTAAATATAAGTCAAATTAACTTAATTTTATTCTATTTAATATTATCATTACTAAATACTCTCTCATTGAATTAATATTATTTTTTTTAATGTTTTTCTATTTATTTTCAGTATCAGATTTTAAGGAAAGATAATTTAGAAAAATAAATTATTTTTAATTGAAATTAATTAATTAGCACAATTAAATGATGTAAACTAAATTTTTGATTTAGCATATTCAATTTTTTTGTCTATATTCAGAATCGAAGATTATGTTTCTCGCACTTGGTTCGAGATCATTAGAAAACAAATTGTTGATTCATGCATCCACATTTAATTAATGTAACAAAGTTTAAGTGTAAATTAATTAGAGATGTTATTGTTCATGATTGGCAAAATAGAATCTGTCTTGATTCTTGTGCCCTAATTAACTTTTGTGCTTAACGCACCTTATCTTTTTTTACATATAAATTAACATTTGATTTTGATTGAAAAATCATTTTTTAAGTCTTAGAATTGAAGTTAATCAATATTTCTTTCATTTTTTATTCATAATTATTTTTTATTATTATTTTCTCTTATTACTATTTTTTTAAAATTAATAATTTTTTTATTAATTATCTTATCTATTTCTTCTTTAATTACCTAAAGGGTATAACAGAAAAATAAGTAATAAATATTTTGAAAAACTAAAATATGAATTATTTTTTTAATTCTTGTACATAACCTTAAACGTCAAATAAAAAAAATCGGAGGAAGTAGAACTTAGTTTTCTAGTCATCTTGCGATAGTTACTCTTGATTCAAGTTCACTAGTTAAGCTATCTAAGGAGTTAAGATTTGAATAAGGAACTTAGATATTTGTTATCAAAGAAATTATGGTTTAAGTAACTTTGTACATTGATGATAATATTTGGACTATAAAAATAAATTAAATGTCTAAGAGTTGCATGAGAATATATAGGATTTAGTAAAGTACAATCTCACCTTCATTCATATTATTGCAATAAACCTATTTTCAAATTTCCAAAATAAAATACAATACACACACAAATATATATATATATATATATATATAATTCAAACAACATCGATATAATTTTTATCAACTATTACACCAATTAATAATTTTTTATAAAATGTAAATTTTGTCAATCCAATCGTTAAATAATGACTTCATATGATCTTGTATATGTATATCAAATTTTGTTAAAATAAAATAACAATTTTAATATAATCAAAATGTTGATATTTTAATAGAGAAGGGTTATAATTACACCGATATAACTTTTACTAAGTATTACACCACTTAATAACTTTATATTTATTATGAATTTTGTAAATTCAACCGTTAGATTGAAAGTTCATATCATTTTATATGTGTATATCAAATTTTGTTAAAATTGAATAACAACTTGAAGGTAATCAAATTGTTCGTATTTTTATATATTTTGAAATGAATATATTACTTTAATTTTGTTTTATAAGAATAAAGTATCAAAATTATCTTGGATTAATATAAAATATTATATATATGATCAAAGAGTAAAAAACTTTCAATCTAATGATTGGACTTACAAAATTCACATTTAATATAAAATTATTAAGCGATATAATACTTAGTAAAAGTTACACCGATAATTATAACCCTCCTCAGTTTAACATATATATGTGTGTGTGTGTTTTTGTTTATTTATTGGAAGTGACTCTTGTGAAAGCATGTTAAAAGAATATAAGAATAATTTATAATAATCATTGGATCAAAATCATTAAAATCAAAACTCAATTATAATTAAACAATTTTTATGAAATCACTAATATTATTATTATCATCACTACTATCATATTTGAATTACCATCACTGTTATCATGTGTTAGTGATATTAATAACAATAACAATAATAATGATAATAACATCATTAATAATGATAAAAATAATAATTAAAAATATAAAAATTGACTTGACTTAATTACTCGAAAATAACAATGACTAGAAATATAAAAAATGACCCGACTTAATGGCTCAACGAGGCAGGACAAGTCGGGTTCCCAAAATATAGACCTAAAAGAATTGGGCCAGGATGAAAACATGAATCTAGCTATACATATCTAATAAGGTTGAAAATCACTAACCTGATTAGTGGTTGACGTTATGTGATCCCTCTTCTCTACTGCGAATAGTTGATCAATTTGCTTATCAAGCAATTTACGGGCTTCCTCATAGTTTTCCTACATAATAAAGCAAGTCTTTAACTTTCACCTAAGTATTAAAAATGTCATATTAATTTGTACAAACAGAGTTCAAAAATTGTTAACACTAAAACATATCCTCACCTTTCTATAACAGGTCTAAATATATTACTAAATGTGCCTGTAGTTGTTTTGTTTTTGATGTAAAATGACACCATTGAAGTTAGAAACTATGACTTAATCTAATTTTTCTACGGCTGCTTTGTGTAGTTATTTTGTTAAAGTTATACTATATTCATCTTTTGCTCAAAAAAGATTATTTTCTTATTCATTACGCTTAGAGTTGGGGATAGATTAGGTTTGAATAAGACTTTACTTAAATAGAGTAGACAAATATTTATAGACCTTACCAAATTCTGTCCATAATTATACTTTTATATACACAAATTATTGAGCTAAGTTTTTCAACAAGATTTTCAATAACAAAAAAATTGACAAATATATTTTAATGTCTTCATGGATTGTCATTTAAAACAAAAAAAAAATCATTTTAGTTACTAATAATAAAAATGGTCTTTCAACTCTTAAATTAAAATAAATATTTTAGATTAAAAATTTTACTTAAAACCAAAAACAGAATTACCATTTTAATTGTTATTATTATTATTGTTGTTGTTACTATCACCATTATCATTGTCACTTTCATCATCATTGCTATCGTCATACCATCAATGTTATGATTGTTATCATTGTTACTATTGTCACTTTCTTCATTATTGTCACTATTTCACACCACTATTATTATCATTATTGTTAATACCATTATTGTTGTGATCACCATTGTTGTACCATTATTATGTAGTATCATTATTGTTGTTATCATTATCACAATCAATGATAATGACATATTAGCAAATGGTGGTGACAACGACAAAAATAATGATGTCAATGATGGTGGTAGTATAGTATTGATAAAAATTGTAGTAACGGTGGCAACTATGACAACTGTAGTAACAATTACCATAATAATTTTGCTTTTAATTTTAAGTTTTTTTATTTAAACATTATTTTAATTTAAGAGTTGAAATTGATGATAATTTTTATTTTCGTAAAAATTATTAATATCATAATATACCTCCCTAGTCCCTATATATATAATATTGATTGTATAAATATAATTTAATGGTCTGTATATTTAAAATTTCATTTCATACGATAAAAAATGTTTTCTTTAATCCTCTAATTATAGGAGACCAAAAAATATAATTTAGAAGATATGTTATATATTTATAATTTATGGATAGGAACCAAAAAGTTGAACATCAGTAATTTATGTACTGAATCAAAAGTTTATCATTTGGATAATGTTGAAATTTGAACATTATCAAAAATAATTTTTCACGAGACAGTCTCATGAGAAAAAAAAAATAATTAAGGATAGGAAGTGAATCCTATGTACCTGAAACATAAGAAGTTCTACAAGAGCCATTCCCAGACTGTCAAGTGAGTCTGGGCTATTAATCTTCTTGCAGTATTCATATTGTTCTTTCATTAGTTCCAGTGCTTTCGGTACAATCCCGGATTTGCAATGACGGAGAGCAAGCATCTGAAAATGACCAAGAAGCAACACGCGTTGAATGAAAAGAGATTAATAATCATCAAATGCAGCAAGCAACCTTTGATGTATCAGTTCGTTCTCAAAGTAGTGGCAAAAGAAGAAAACCTTGAGGGTGTTAACTTCATCCGGGCTGGGTCCAAAATCTTTACTTGAGGCTCCTGCTTCTCTCATTGTTTGCAACAGTGACTCCAGAACAAACCTTCCTGTGTTCTCCAACATAGATGTATTATATTTAGTACCAGATTCACAAGCATAAGCTATGGTGAGTTTAGGATTCATCTTGCCACTAAAGTTTAACAATCCAAGAACACATGCCAGAACCAGAGAAGCTCCTGTCATTCCTCTCAAAATTTTGTTGCCACCACTTCCCTTGTTATGGGAGGACTCAGAGAATCTTTCAACCATGCAAGTTGCATGGCTCAATGAACGTGTAACTGGGCTTCTGGAGGTGGAAAAGTGAGGGAGACAAAGAGGAGTGGCATGGTTAAACCTGAGGCTAGGCCTTGCACTTTGAAATCCTTTGGAAACATAGGGAAACGGGTGGCAAATAATAGCAGATTCCATATCTGATGGAGACTATGGGGTGACAAATTATGCATAACTATCTCAACAAGTATGGTACTAGTATTTATGAACCAAAATCCAAATGCGTGAGAATAAAAAAATGCATCTTTGTGGAAGGAAAGTTGGAAGTTAGGTATCTATTTTATTTCTTGCAAAAGTTTCACTATAATACAAAAAATATTACATATAATAACATACAAAAAAAATATCACTATAAATATAACATATGTAAAAATAAATTTATTTAATATATAATTACACATAATTTTAATATTTATTTTGAATGAAATTTAATAATATATTATGTATCACTATAATTTATATTTATAATTTTTATCAATATATCAATATATATTATAATTATAATATAGATAAAAATAATTTTTAATAATAAATAATGTATTATTATAGAATATATGTCTTATTTTTATTTTTTTTAAGATAAAGTTGTTGTAATTGGCTGGGCATAGCTGCTTTGCTTCTTTTTACACATTAACCAAGAGAATGAAATATGGTCTCTTTTACTAGCCCCACCTTGTGTTAGTAATCATATGTAGGAATAAATCTTTGCTTAAAACAAGGGAATGAGGAATACCTTAAAGTTACTGAGTTGGGTTCCTGACAAAAGTTTGAATTTCTTTGCCTAACTATCAGGACTAGAATATCAGAATGTTTGTGTCACTTCACAAACTTTATATTATTATGTAGATAATATTGCTTTTAACTTTGATTTTCTTCTGATGATCGCATTGTGTCTATGAACATCATTTAAATAGTTGTTCTTCTTTGTGAGGGAAAAGGAAAAGGCTCGATATGGACGCAACTATTAGAAAAGCTAGCTTCTATATGCACAATTAATTTGATGAAATTGGTAAAAAAAAGCTTGTAGGACTATGGATCTACGTGAAGGTTGTGTAAATGTAAAAGGCCTACTCATACTAGATCCATGTCTCTTAAAAATGTTGGGGTGACAAATCGTATTTCAATGAAATCTTCAACAAATGTTTTTAAATAAAGAGAAAAGTAAATAAATTAAATTTTCCTTAAGTTAAAATCAGTTTATAGAAAATTAGTTGAGAGTTTTTAAAAGTTAACTTATCCAGAAATTTATTTTAACTAACATTAGATGAGGGGTTGTTTTAAAAAAAAAAAAAATTAACTTAATGTGTAAGTTTAGTTCGACTAATAAAAGAAGTTTAATTTGTTTTATTTTTCCAGAAGTGCTTATTAACATGGAGGTTTTTTCAGGTTTTCTATAAATATAAACTAATTACAGCAACACTATATAATGTTGAGATTCTTCTTAAGGCTTAACTTGGATAGGAACATATCTTGATTTAAAAAAATTCAGGCTCTGTGCAAAATGCTAAGAAGCTAAACAATGCTGAGAAGGATTCATGTATATCGAGAGAAAAATCTTGGAATCGAATTCCCACCTTCTTTGCAAAAGAGATCTGTAAAAGAATATATATTAGGTGCAAAAGGATTGGCAATACTATATAGCAAAAGCAACAGCCCTCACGAGAAAATCATGGCAATTTGGTATACAACTTTGTTTTATTAGCAATAATCTTATAATTTTAACCAAAACATGGTCAAACAAAAGACTAAAAACAAAAAGGTTACAAAGACCAATGCACCAATTACAATAGAGATGTAATTCATTAGTTAATCTAAAAACTCTCCAAATCTGGAAGAAAAATACTAAATATCTATATTTGTCATCATATTGCCTAGTAACTTTAATTCTCATTCATGTACTTATAGGGTACCTACATGATTTTACTTATGTGTAAATCAATAAACAATATTATTTTAAAAGTTGTTATAATTAATTGAAACTTTACTCTTAAATTATTCAAACATAATATTAAATTATTCAAATCTAAAATAAAGAACATTCAAATATAACCTTAAATCATTTAAACATATGCCACTAATCTTAACCAAACAACATTGAAAACATATATAACTCGATTAAAACAAGAGTTCTAACAGCAATCATAGTTAGTGGAACCCTTGAATTGATTAAAATCTTTAGCTTTTCATGGTCATCTCCTTTCCGTAAAGATTAAAAAAGAACGTAGTAATGTGTAAAGATAATAGAGGGAGCCAGAGATAGGAAGAGATGGATTGCATAAAATTGTGAGAATCAAAGTATATAATTCGTAGGTTTATTTTTTCCATGTGTATTACAAAATTAATCTTACATAAATCCTATTTCATTTTTGAATAAAATTAAAGCCAATCAAATTATGTTTCAAAAGAGATATGATATGATTGAATCGAGCTTTGAGATAGGAGACTTGTGTTCAAAAATAGTGTGAAACATTCATGATGAGCAGGAAT